AGTTTCAAGGACTTCAGCAGTTTCAAGGACTTCAGCAGTTTCAAGGACTTCAGTGTAATCATGCAACCTAATAGGGATTTTTCCATGTAAACCAGTATAATGCAACTTAATAGGGATTTTTCCATGTAAACCAGTATAATGCAACTTAATAGGGTTTTTTCATGTAAACCAGTATAATGCAACTTAATAGGGGTTTTTTTCATGTAAACCAGTATAATGCAACTTAATAGGGGTTTTTTCCATGTAAACCAGTATAATGCAACTTAATGGGGATTTTTCCATGTAAACCAGTATAATGCAACTTAATAGGGGTTTTTACATGTAAACCAGTATAATGCAACTTAATAGGGTTTTTTCCATGTAAACCAGTATAATGCAACTTAATAGGGTTTTTTCCATGTAAACCAGTATAATGCAACTTAATAGGGTTTTTTCCATGTAAACCAGTACAATGCAACTTAATAGGGATTTTTCCATGTAAACCAGTATAATGCAACTTAATAGGGTTTTTTACATGTAAACCAGTATAATGCAACTTAATGGGGATTTTTCCATGTAAACCAGTATTATGCAACTTAATAGGGATTTTTCCATGTAAACCAGTATAATGCAACTTAATAGGGTTTTTTCATGTAAACCAGTATAATGCAACTTAATAGGGTTTTTTTTCATGTAAACCAGTATAATGCAACTTAATGGGGATTTTTCCATGTAAACCAGTATAATGCAACTTAATAGGGGTTTTTACATGTAAACCAGTATAATGCAACTTAATAGGGTTTTTTCCATGTTAACCAGTATAATGCAACTTAATAGGGTTTTTTCCATGTAAACCAGTATAATGCAACTTAATAGGGTTTTTTCCATGTAAACCAGTACAATGCAACTTAATAGGGATTTTTCCATGTAAACCAGTATAATGCAACTTAATAGGGTTTTTTACATGTAAACCAGTATAATGCAACTTAATGGGGATTTTTCCATGTAAACCAGTATTATGCAACTTAATAGGGATTTTTCCATGTAAACCAGTATAATGCAACTTAATAGGGATTTTTCCTTGTAAACCAGTATAATGCAACTTAATAGGGTTTTTTTCATGTAAACCAGTATAATGCAACTTAATGGGGATTTTTCCATGTAAACCAGTATTATGCAACTTAATAGGGATTTTTCCATGTAAACCAGTATAATGCAACTTAATAGGGTTTTTACATGTAAACCAGTATAATGGAACTTAATAGGGGTTTTTACATGTAAACCAGTATAATGGAACTTAATAGGGGTTTTTACATGTAAACCAGTATAATGCAACTTAATAAGGATTTTTACATGTAAACCACTATAATGTAACCTAATAGGGGTTTTTACATGTAAACCAGTATAAAGCAACTTAATAGGGATTTGTACATGTAAACCAGTATAATGCAACCTAATAGGGATTTTTCCATGTAAACCAGTATAATGCAACTTAATAGAGATTTTTCCATGTAAACCAGTATAATGCAACTTAATAGGGATTTTTCCATGTAAACCAGTATAATGCAACCTAATAGGGATTTTTCCATGTAAACCAGTATAATGCAACCTAATAGGGATTTTTCCATGTAAACCAGTATAATGCAACCTAATAGGTTGCATTATACCACCAGACCAAGACCCAAACGAAGACTCAGACCACCACCAGATAATGACCACAGACCAGGTTTCCTTAGTTACAGGAACCAAATTGTTTCAGCGGTGAGGGGATTTTTCAGTTTCAAGGACACTTTCAATACATTCAGTAGTTTCAAGGATTTCAACTGTTTAAGAATTTAACCAGTTTCAAGGATATCAGGAGGTTCAAGGATTTCAGGAGTTTCCACACTTTCAACAGTTTCCAGGTTTAAAAAAAGTTTCAAGGATTTCAGGAGTTTCAATGTTTCAACAGTTTCAAGGATTTCAGGAGTTTAAAGGTTTCAACAATTTCAAGGACTTCAGGAGTTTCAAATATCTATCAAGTATTTTAACAGTTTCAAGGCCTTTTAAAGGATTTCAAGGATTTTTTTTAGCAGATTTCCACATTAGATCTGTTCCGCAGTCAATCGCAATGGCTTCAGCCATTGCAAGTTTCTAGTTATTATTAAAGTTGCAGTTGGTGATTTTGTTAGCTTAGCCGTAGCACCAACTGGAAACCACTCCCCCCTCCCCTCCCTCTCCACCAAACCACTCCCCCTCCCTCAAACCACTCCCCCCTCCCCTCCCTCTCCACCAAACCACTCCCCCCTCCCCTCCCTCTCCACTAAACCACTCCCCCCTCCCCTCCCTCTCCACTAAACCACTCCCCCCTCCCCTCCCTCTCCACTAAACCACTCCCCCCTCCCCTCCCTCTCCACCAAACCACTCCCCCCTCCCCTCCCTCTCCACCAAACCACTCCCCCCTCCCCTCCCCTCCAACAAACCACTCCCCCCTCCCCTCCCTCTCCACCAAACCACTCCCCCCTCCCCTCCCTCTCCACCAAACCAAACATCCAGCATTTTCTTTCCTTTGTCACAGGGAGAGTGAAGCAAACGTGAAATTGGCCTTTTCTGTTCAGCCATTTTAGGTTTTAGAAAATCCGATAACTCCGGTGCACTCTGAGAAACAGGAAGTGGGTGAAGGAGGTAAACACATCCCATTGGTTTGTTGGAGATGAACGAATCCCATTGGTTTATTTTTATCGGTCCGCTCTAACAACATTTTGTATTCATTTATGGAGACCATAGACATCTGGTCAATCCCATTACTATTTAAAAACACGTGATAACTTGATACTTTTAGTGTTTAGGGACGTTTTCACACAATATTTAAACAAATGCTTCTGGAAAAAAACGTGCAAACAGTTAAGTCTGGCTCAGCTGTATCATCTCTGCCGGCAGTTTTAGCTTCCTTTGATCACACACAAAGAGACACGCTAATGCAACAACATACGCTAAGCACCGCACCAGACAAGTTTCTCGAGTCTGAAGATGTGCGAACGGAACAACAGTGAGTCCTCAGATATTGCCTCATAAATCAAAATGGTAAATTCAATTCTCCATGGGTTGCCAACCTGCTTAGACTGTGTGAATGAAAAGGCAGTGGTAGAAGGCTGATGTTGACGCCGTGTTTGCAGCGGCTCGAGCTGATCTCTGGAGCGGAGCCGGTGGAATGTGCTTTTTGTCAGGTGTTGACTTGACAGGTGCGAGATGAAAGGAACACGAATGCTTGGAACGCTTCTACAAATGCTTCGTTGGCTTGTGAAGAGTGAAGAGATGCTGTATTCGCTGCACGGCCTATTTTTAGAAAGTGCATGTTTTCATTAGCAGCTGCTTTTGAGGGAGAATGGAAAATTCCGAGGTTAAGTTTTCGATGCGTGTTGAGAGGCTGAGAGGCAGGGGTCTGTCCTGGTATGTTATTATAGTCGGCACAATGAAGCATATGGAATAATGTTGGTGGATTTTCTGTCAGATTTTTAGGTTAAAACTGAAAACACTTGAGGAAACTGGTTAAACTAGCGTAGGACCTGGATCTACAGCCTTAGTCCTCGTTCTACAGTCGGAGTCCTGGATCCACAGCCTCAGATCCTGGATCTACAGCCTCAGTCCTGGATCTACAGCCTCAGTCCTGGATCTACAGTCTCAGTCCTGAATCTACAGTCTCAGTCCTGGATCTACAGTCTCAGTCCTGGATCTAAAGTCTTAGTCCTGGATCTACAGCCTCAGATCATGGATCTACAGCCTCCGTCCTGGATCTACAGTCTCAGTCCTGGATCTACAGTCTCAGTCCTGGATCTACAGTCTTAGTCCTGGATCTACAGCCTCAGATCCTGGATCTACAGCCTCCGTCCTGGATCTAAAGTCTCAGTCCTGGATCTACAGTCTCAGTCCTGGATCTAAAGTCTCAGTCCTGGATCTACAGTCTCAGTCCTGGATTTACAGTCTCAGTCCTGGATCTACAGTCTCAGTCCTGGATCTACAGCCTTTGGCCTTTGAGCCTGAAGGTTGTGGGTTCGAGCCCACTAGAAGACTTTCCCCACCGTCTCCCATCGATGTCTGCTGTTGTTGTGTCCTTAGGCAAGACACTTCACCCACATTGCCTAGAGTCTAATGCGTGTGTGTGTGTGTCTCCCTCATTGCTGCATCTCTATCACTTGGTTTCAGGCACTTTTTCCATCAAACTCCATCTCAACCATTTCGTACAAACCTTTATTTAAAAAACTAGGGGTTCCAAAAACAAAAAAAAGACACACAGAAAGTTTGCTACTACATCTTGGAAAATTAAAACAAGAAAAAACAACATTGCTTTCGCTAAGGACTGAACATTAAAAGGGTTAAAGCGACGTAACGCAGATTCAAATCTTGGAGATGTGGCACTCTTTCTCAGGATGGCTGTGGGCTTGTGGTGTATCGCCGCCTGACACTGGATCACACAATTCCACAGACTCCTTTGCACCTCGCCCGGGTTTGCGTCAGTACATCTCAGTTTGCATCGATGTCAGACACCAGACAATATGTCGTGTGAAAAACCCGCATAACACGAACAAAGCAACTGTTTGTGATTCTGTAACAAGCATCTGCTTTTATGACAAAAACACTGATACCAGCGACAGACCGACTGAAGCTACGTTTATGTGATAGACTTTATTAAGCTTTTTCATTTTGTTTATCTTATGAAAAAGGAAAATGAAGAAGAAATGAAGAAAATAAGTGTTTTTGGCAGAATCCAATACAGTTCTGTAATGTTGTTTACTGAAATGTGGTTTTAAGTTTTGCACGGCGTATATCTGCGAAGTACAGAAGTGTAGTCGGGGTTACGTTCTGAAAAGTAGCAGTTATATGTTTTAACCAGTGTGGGCGGTCCATGAGCACGTGCTGCACTACCACTCTGGGTCGGTGGGGGTGTACCCGGAAAGAGAATTACCCAATGCTTTTGTATGACGCCATCTTTTCTCTGGAAAGCGTTTTTACAGGATGGTCCAAAAGTGGGTCTTGGTCCAAAAATGGTTCTTGGTTCAAAAGTGGCTCTTGGTCCAGAAGTGGCTCTTGGTCCAAAAGTGGCTCTTGGTCCAGAAGTGGCTCTTGGTCCAAAAGTGGCTCTTGGTCCAGAAGTGACTCTTGATCCAAAAGTGGCTCTTGGTCCAAAAGTGGCTCTTGGTCCAAAAGTGGCTCTTGGTCCAGAAGTGGCTCTTGGTCCAGAAGTGGCTCTTGGTCCAAAAGTGGCTCTTGGTCCAGAAGTGACCCTTGGTCCAAAAGTGGCAATTGGTCCAGAAGTGGCTTTTGGTCCAAAAGTGGCTCTTGGTTCAAAAGTGGCTCTTGGTCCAGAAGTGGCTCTTGGTCCAGAAGTGGCTCTTGGTCCAAAAGTGGCTCTTGGTCCAGAAGTGGCTCTTGGTCCAGAAGTGGCTCTTGGTCCAAAAGTGGCTCTTGGTCCAAAAGTGGCTCTTGGTCCAAAAGTGGCTCTTGGTCCAGAAGTGGCTCTTGGTCCAGAAGTGGCTCTTGGTCCAAAAGTGGCTCTTGGTCCAGAAGTGACCCTTGGTCCAAAAGTGGCAATTGGTCCAGAAGTGGCTTTTGGTCCAAAAGTGGCTCTTGGTTCAAAAGTGGCTCTTGGTCCAGAAGTGGCTCTTGGTCCAGAAGTGGCTCTTGGTCCAGAAGTGGCTCTTGGTCCAAAAGTGGCTCTTGGTCCAGAAGTGGCTCTTGGTCCAAAAGTGGCTCTTGGTCCAAAAGTGGCTCTTGGTCCAAAAGTGGCTCTTGGTCCAAAAGTGGCTCTTGGTCCAGAAGTGGCTCTTGGTCCAGAAGTGGCTCTTGGTCCAGAAGTGGCTCTTGGTCAAAAAGTGGCTCTTGGTCCAGAAGTGGCTCTTGGTCCAAAAGTGGCTCTTGGTCCAAAAGTGGCTCTTGGTCCAGAAGTGGCTCTTGGTGGTCCAAAAGTGGCTCTTGGTCCAAAAGTGGCTCTTGGTCCAAAAGTGGCTCTTGGTCCAAAAGTGGCTCTTGGTCCAGAAGTGGCTCTTGGTCCAGAAGTGGCTCTTGGTCCAGAAGTGGCTCTTGGTCAAAAAGTGGCTCTTGGTCAAAGTGGCTCTTGGTCCAGAAGTGGCTCTTGGTCCAAAAGTGGCTCTTGGTCCAAAAGTGGCTCTTTGTCCAGAAGTGGCTCTTGGTCCAGAAGTGGCTCTTGGTCCAAAAGTGGCTCTTGGTCCAAAAGTGGCTCTTGGTCCAGAAGTGGCTCTTGGTCCAAAAGTGGCTCTTGGTCCAGAAGTGGCTCTTGGTCCAAAAGTGGCTCTTGGTCCAGAAGTGACTCTTGATCCAAAAGTGGCTCTTGGTCCAAAAGTGGCTCTTGGTCCAGAAGTGGCTCTTGGTCCAGAAGTGGCTCTTGGTCAAAAAGTGGCTCTTGGTCCAGAAGTGGCTCTTGGTCCAAAAGTGGCTCTTGGTCCAAAAGTGGCTCTTTGTCCAGAAGTGGCTCTTGGTCCAGAAGTGGCTCTTGGTCCAAAAGTGGCTCTTGGTCCAAAAGTGGCTCTTGGTCCAGAAGTGGCTCTTTGTCCAGAAGTGGCTCTTGGTCCAGAAGTGGCTCTTGGTCCAAAAGTGGCTCTTGGTCCAGAAGTGACTCTTGATCCAAAAGTGGCTCTTGGTCCAAAAGTGGCTCTTGGTCCAAAAGTGGCTCTTGGTCCAGAAGTGGCTCTTTGTCCAGAAGTGGCTCTTGGTCCAGAAGTGGCTCTTGGTCCAAAAGTGGCTCTTGGTCCAGAAGTGACTCTTGGTCCAAAAGTGGCTCTTGGTCCAGAAGTGGCTCTTGGTCCGAAAGTGGCTCTTGGTCCAGAAGTGGCTCTTGGTCAGAAGTGGCTCTTGGTCCAGAAGTGGCTCTTGGTCCAAAATTGGCTCTTGGTCCAGAAGTGGCTCTTGGTCCAAAAGTGGCTCTTGGTCCAAAAGTGGCTCTTGGTCCAAAAGTGGCTCTTGGTCCAGAAGTGGCTCTTTGTCCAGAAGTGGCTCTTGGTCCAGAAGTGGCTCTTGGTCCAAAAGTGGCTCTTGGTCCAAAAGTGGCTCTTGGTCCAGAAGTGGGTCTTGGTCCAAAAGTGGCTCTTGGTCCAAAAGTGGCTCTTGGTCCAAAAGTGGCTCTTGGTCCAGAAGTGGCTCTTTGTCCAGAAGTGGCTCTTGGTCCAGAAGTGGCTCTTGGTCCAAAAGTGGCTCTTGGTCCAAAAGTGGCTCTTGGTCCAGAAGTGGCTCTTTGTCCAGAAGTGGCTCTTTGTCCAGAAGTGGCTCTTGGTCCAAAAGTGGCTCTTGGTCCAGAAGTGACTCTTGGTCCAAAAGTGGCTCTTGGTCCAAAAGTGGCTCTTGGTCCAGAAGTGACTCTTGATCCAAAAGTGGCTCTTGGTCCAAAAGTGGCTCTTGGTCCAGAAGTGGCTCTTGGTCCAAAAGTGGCTCTTGGTCCAGAAGTGACTCTTGATCCAAAAGTGGCTCTTGGTCCAAAAGTGGCTCTTGGTCCAGAAGTGGCTCTTGGTCCAGAAGTGGCTCTTGGTCAAAAAGTGGCTCTTGGTCCAGAAGTGGCTCTTGGTCCAAAAGTGGCTCTTGGTCCAAAAGTGGCTCTTTGTCCAGAAGTGGCTCTTGGTCCAGAAGTGGCTCTTGGTCCAAAAGTGGCTCTTGGTCCAAAAGTGGCTCTTGGTCCAGAAGTGGCTCTTGGTCCAGAAGTGGCTCTTTGTCCAGAAGTGGCTCTTGGTCCAGAAGTGGCTCTTGGTCCAAAAGTGGCTCTTGGTCCAGAAGTGACTCTTGATCCAAAAGTGGCTCTTGGTCCAAAAGTGGCTCTTGGTCCAAAAGTGGCTCTTGGTCCAAACGTGGCTCTTTGTCCAGAAGTGGCTCTTGGTCCAGAAGTGGCTCTTGGTCCAAAAGTGGCTCTTGGTCCAAAAGTGGCTCTTGGTCCAGAAGTGGCTCTTGATCCAAAAGTGGCTCTTGGTCCAAAAGTGACTCTTGGTCCAGAAGTGACTCTTGGTCCAAAAGTGGCTCTTGGTCCAAAAGTGGCTCTTGGTCCAAAAGTGGCTCTTGGTCCCATGGTACGTTCCAGATGTTGTTGATGTTGAGAAGAGTATATATTTTTGGAGCAGTCTAGTTTAGCCGCTGTGGACTTTTGAATGCACTCGTTAAATGAATGGGGCTAACACATGCGCTAAAGCAGGGGTCGGGAACCCAAAATGTTCAAAGAGCCATAATTGACAAAAAAACTAAAAACAACATCTGTCTGGAGCCGCAAAAAAATAACAGCCTTGTATAAGGCTTTTATGAAGGTAACACAGGACGCAAGATGTATTAGCTATATTAGCCTAATATCTAAATGACAAACTAAAGGCTACAAATACATAATAATCATTCATGATTATCAAATGTGTATTTTCACTGCAGCGTGTCGCACCACGCGTGTCGTGAATGACGCAACATGTGACAACTCTGCTTTAGTTTAACTTCCATTTTTTTTGCCTTCATGCAATTATAGAAATACAGTAAATAAATCTGCTTTGGGCTCAGAGGTCACACACCTGCATCACTGTCTGCTCATATCCATCACGTCACAGGCTGAAGTTTGCTGGAGCTGAATTAAAATCCTTAATGGCCGTTTCTTTCACCATCTTTGAGAAATGTTTTGAAGTCTGAAAATAGGTGCTCTGAATTTTTGATGAATGAATCCTTCACGTAATCACCGTTTACGTCGTTTTGCGCGTCATTGTTCCTCGTGTTGCAACAAAACTTTTCATTACAAACATGAAGCAGTCCTTCCTCATTGACTGAAAGAAAATGTTCATTCTCATTCTTAGTCCAGTCTTGTTATCGACTCTTTCTCGTTTTAGCTTTGGGATCCATGTGCACTTACAGTCTATGATGCTCACACGCCGGTTTGTTTACAGCAGCGGCCGCATGGGGCGGGGCCGTGTGACCGCGCGTCATAGGATATGACGCACTACGTTGACAGAAATGTTGAAATTAGATATTACTTATACATATTTTTACAGCATTTAAAAACGTAAAGATTGTTTTTCCTCCTACAGAAACCACATTCAAACTAGAAATAAAATATAGCCCTCACACTCCATTTTCAGACATTTTTGAAAAGGCTCAGGAGCCACTCCAGGAGCACTCAAGAGCCGCATGCGGCTCCGGAGCCGCGGGTTGCCGACCCCTGCGCTAAAGTGTTTTTTTACATATTCCAGCCCCGCGGCCATTTTGAACAACCCCGCAGAAGGCAAAAGTGGTGGCATATTAATTTTGACGACAGAGATAGGCGTCACTACATCTGTTAATATTTACATTCTCTGATTTTAAGGCTGTAAAATCCCTCTCTTCACACTTCATATTTAGAAAGACTGTTATTGAAGCATTTACAGCTAGCTAAAAAAATAGCTGCTACTTGTTTTGTATAAATTGTGTGCTTCCTGTGTCTCTTACCACTGTCCTGTATGTGTGCTGCAACACTGGAATTTCCCCACTGTGGGAGGAATAAAGAATGTCTTACCTGATCTTATCTAATACACTTTTCTCACCACCTGAACTCATGAAGTACAAATGTGGAGATATCTAACGACATTATAGCAAGGGACCAACACTGCCAATGTCATTACGAACGAAGAAAAGTTTTCCAACGCTGATTCTTCAAACACTTTTTTATTGATTTGAGTTTGAAAGTGGACGGACCAAGAATCGAGCTGAAGCCACGACAGACGGGCGACTGAAAAACCACCAGACACAGAAAGCCTCTTGGACTCCAGCTGATGTGTTTATCTGTCACAGCAGGACCCAGAAGTTGCGGGAAAGTGCATTTTAAGTCCCCCATGCATTTACAATATCCAACTGTCTCCTGCCATAAATAACAACCAAGATCTAAGCATCGGTCGTGCCCATTTCATTAGCTTCGAGATGTCGGTTCAAATCCCTTCCCTCAATACACTTTGTTTTGTCAAGATAAGTAGTTATAGTGGATCCACCAGAGCATAAGGACATTTTTTTGTAGTTGCGATCAAAGCCGGAGTGACAGACAGCTCTCATTTACTAATAAGACTCTCCGCAGACCACCTCTCCGAGAGCGGCTTAGAGAAGTCGGCTGCAAAGATGTTTACAAATGCAATTAAATTAGAAGAGGTCAGGCAAGGAGAGGCACAATGGTTTAATCAGGCGTCAAATCCCGGAGCATTCGCTTGTACGTTTAAACAGTTTTTTAGAACTTTTCAATGGGTTTCGTCGCCAAAAAGAGATAAACAAACCGTGCTTTGAATACAGGGCGACTTCTTGGAGCGGTGGGTTCGGTAAAGGGCAAGAATGCACTTTAAGTTTGGTTTAGATTCATTTAATTACATGGATTTGTGTCTCTGTTCAGTCGGGAAAGTTTTGTATATTTCTGATAATCTAAGAGTCCTTGAGGAGTGTTTAGTTTGGATTTTTCTTCCTGATCTTAGTGGAGCTAGCCTGGTCGTACCACACCACAGTGCTAGTTTCATTTCATACTAAGGTCTGGATTTGCTCCATTGACTCCGTTAACAGGTGGGAGGGGTTAACTCCTTTTGCAGATTGAAACAATTGGATCTGAGTTTACCGTGACGTATGTAATGAGCCCGAGTGAGTCGTTAGCATTTAGCCTAGCTTTAGCATGTAGCCTAGCTTTAGCCATCTCTTTTGCCACCAACGGAGTCCGTGGGGAGTAGCGCCACAATCTTGGCCAGCGATTACATTTGCTAAACATTTCTCTTGCTCCAGCTTCAATTTCTTGACAGAACCAGACCGGATTACTTTATTATGGCATTCTTCACCAAACTAAAACCTTCCCGTTCGGCTCAAACTCTTGACGTCACCCACATCTAACTACAACACCCGCCTCCCGCGCTCTCTGATTGGTCGGATGGAATTCAAACGATTGTAATCGCAAACACAGGGACCAGACCCAGACGTTACATGCAGGACATGATGATTGAGCGGAGAGTACAGATGGATAAGACCAGGCTATAGTGGAACAAAACCATTGTTAAAAAGGTAAACAGGAGGATTTAAACAAGTGTTAGGAAAGAACCGCGCTTTCCTCTTTTTGAACAAGACTCTCTGGATATATACCGTAGTTTACCAAACCCAACCATGGGCTATAGACCAGGTTAAAACTGACCTATATGTATTGAGTTATGGCTATTATCTGTCATTTTGTAAACACGCACACACGTATGAATGTTCTTCTGCAAATACTATAGCACTTAAAAAAACTATATGAAGAATCTATTAGTTTTATTAATGGATTAACCTGTATTCCCACATTTCCATGTCCTCGTTCCTTTCCGCCTCGTGATAAAGGCGCAGCGTCAAAATTCAGCGTTGGTGTTTTTCTCATGAATTTTGAAACCCTTCCATTTCTCCCGTAGAGTAGCCCAGTGTGGATTGTCTCACTGTACTTGAACTCTGCCGAACCATAATGCATTGAGGCCTGTATGGAGAAGCCCTCGAAGAAAATGAAACTTCAAAGAGGCCTGTGAGATAGCAGCTGCCCAATCAGATCTCACTTTAGCGGGATAATAGCAGCCAGGTCCCCAGAGGCTCTGCAGAGGGATGTGTCATAAATTATGAATTTCCATGAGAACAGATATGGATGGTGGTGTCATGCCGTAATTGGCGCAGCACTCGGCGCAGAGAGGCCTGAGTGATGTACGCTGCGGGCACCTGCCTTGAAAACGCCAAGTGATTTTTGCAAAGTCAGTGCCACATAAAGAAGTGGCCCCAATTATGAGGCTGACCCCGGGGCCCAGAAATGTGGGGAACTCATTTTGTGACCCGTTGGACAGCAGCGTGCGGGCGCCAGGAGTCAAGGTCTGCAAGAGTTTTCAGATCATAAACTTTCAACGAGCTGCAACTCAGGACTCGGTCAAGACCAAACATTAGAATGACTTTGCTTCATTAATAAAGGCTGCAGAATTACAATTTTAGATCAAACTCCAAGGCTCATAAAGGAGCAGTGTGTAAACCTGTGGCCAAAAGTGGTACTGCAGCCTCTCCCACTCTCCCTGACTCAGGTTGCCAGATATGCAGACGAATCCAGCTGGGACCATAACAGCTGAATAGACAAGAGTTTTGTCAACAACAAATCTATAACCAACACCTTTTTCACAAAGATAGAAATCCTGGTTTTATTCCTTGTTTTGTCGTTAATGATTTGAGAATCATAACGAGACCTTTTTTAGTTCTGCGCCACATGGTACTTTACCAGTGAGATTAGCTCCACGCGGTGAGTTCTGGCAGCCAGATCACAGACTTTCTGATTGGTGAAACGGTGGAGGGCGGGACATCCAAATGAAAACAATAACAAGATTTAGAGGCTGGAAAAGTAATTTAGAAATTCAAATATCTCTGAACTACTGTTATCAGTTAAAGAAGGATTGGAAAAGAGCAGATTATTATTATGCCCTTTAATGACAACTTGACCCTTTAATGAAGATCTTGCATATTGCTACTTTTGTTTGTACATTCATTTGTATTTTTCAGTAATAATAATACATCAACCTTATATAACGCTTTTGGACACTCTTTAGACGCTTAAGAAAACATAGCTCAGTAGCTAATGTGTATATATATATATATATATATATCAGTAGCTAATGTATATATCAGTAGCTAATGTATATATCAGTAGCTAATGTATATATCAGTAGCTAATGGGGATCTAAATAAATCAAACAGATGTGTTCCCGAGGCTGTCATGAACAGTTGAACAGTCGATCATTTAGAATCAAAAACAAACATTAACAGTTTATTCTTTCTTTTAGCACAAAAACAGCTGTTTCTTTAGATGGACCATATGTGTCCCTGAAGGACCATATGTGTCCCTGAAGGGCTCATAAATCTGTCCATCACGCCTGAAATCAGGGAGACACAACCGGTGCATCTGGATGTATGTAATTATATATCATACATATATAGACTGTGTTTGTCCCGACACTATTGAAGAGAACACAAAAATAATACTTGCTTTTGTTTAAGATGAAGAAGAAGAAGGTGGTCGTTTACACTAATATTAGAGTCTACAATCAACATCACAAACAGCAGCAATTATATA